CTTTACTCAAGTAAAAGTGAAAACCCGGCTCTGAAATGAGCTCAAAGGATGAAAGTAAAAAGTTATTTAGAATATTTCTACCGACTGTTTCTCTACAACGATTCTTACATCTTTCGTTGTTTTCGTCACGTCTGTCATGTAATAATAGTAAATTTGGGGGAGTCTGTACCAAACAAACATGTTCTCTTGAATCTGGAGAACAACAGTTTTTAGTCCAGGGCATCTCTTCAGAACTACAGTACTTTATTATAATGTTGTTTATATTTGACCTTTATCAGAAACTTTGGACGTCATCATATTGTGATTTCGATAATATTTGGATTAATTGTGCAGCTCTATGTGATATTCACCGGTCTTGATGTTTGAAAGGAGGGCAATCATGCAAAATAAAAATAAAAACTGATAATTCTCACATGATTAAAACTACAAGAATGAGCCTGTTCTGACAATGTAAGGAGTAGAGACATCTGTGTATGGGGGAAAAGTAAACAGAAAAGTAAAGACGAAAAAAAACGACTTAACTACAATAACAAAGTATCTGTACTTAGTTACTTCCCACCTCTGCCCAAATCTGCAGCTCCCCCTTGTTTCAGTTTCATTACTTTGGCTCAAAAACAAAGTGGAGTGACGCAAACACAACTACAAATGTATGATAATGTGTCTGGACTCGCAACTGTCTGCTTCCAATTTCACCACATCAACTTAAAAGCCGATGACACGTTATTTCTACTCCGCACAAGTGCCAATAAAATCAGTTATAACAGATTTAACTTGTCACATATTTCCAAATCTGTCAACATGAGCTGTACACAGACACATAAAGGAGTCTTTCTTCTGCCTTTGCTATGAAGCTGAATGACCTTGAGGAAACTGATGGAGCACTACATGTCACCGGGATAAATTATGTCTTCTGCATCGGACGCTGATTTCGTTCTAGCAATCCATCTGCTTGCCATGTTTAAAGCAAAAGAAAAAAATCCACACTAAAACAGATTTTCATACTTGATTCAGTCAAAACTACATGTATGTACGTTTGTATAAAAAGCAAGTAGTGGCTAATGCTAAAGGTTGAAGTAAAAATTATTTTTAGAGCTGCTTTTAGGACTAAAAAATAATAACTTTTCCAAAAACTCGTGACACATTTGTTCCTTCAGAGCTGAAAGCTGACAGTATACAAATCATAGAAAACGTTCTAGTTTATACATCAAAATGATCAGTATTACAAGTCACTTAATGAGATTAAAACAATGTTACGAGGGAAACATCAGAGGAAAAAACCTCCATAAAAAACATTTTGAGGTGTATTTCTCTTTAAGGTGTGAACTGAATAACTACACAATGCTGCCACCTACTGGTCAGAATGAGTTATTATCAATGTGATGTGTGGGGGAAAACAAAAAGGATGTGAGGTGTTTTATCTGCGAGGTAAAACCTACAGCGTGGAACAACTTGCGCTGCAGCGGCTGGTAGGAGCAGATCTCCTTCAGGCCCCAGGTGATGCCCATGTTGGGTCTCTGTCCGAGTCCGCTACAGGGGGCATCGAGCAGGACGCGGTCGAAACTCTCAGGAGGGAAAGGAGGTCCTGGAATATGTTCAGAAACACAAGTGATATATACATATATAAAGAGTCCTGGTGTTATTAATGGATAAATATGTATAATAGAAACCTCCATGTGTCCCTCTGTACCTTCAGTGTGTGCCGGGTCGCTGCTCACTGCCTGAGTGCTGTTAAAGCAGTACGCTGTGATCGAACGCAGGTGCAACATTCGGGCGTTTTCACGAATCCGATCGATCTTATTTCGGATTCTGTCCAAGGCCACGACCTCGCCCTGTGTGAGACGGAAAGAGACAGCAAATTCATTAACAGAGCACAAAAAGCACCAATTATACCCTGGGAGGTTTAAAAAGTAGGAGTTTCTTTTATTAACTGTTTTAAACGAGCAGACCTGGAAAGTGAGTCAACAGAGCGAGTTTGGAGATTATTTTTAGATTTATTTCCTATATATTTTTGTATTTACTGATGTTTTTATTTAGTTACTTTAATTATTATTTATTACTACATCTGTCTATTGTATGTTTGTATATTCACATGCAAATCTTGTTTATAGTTTCTTAGAAAAAGTACATTTATAGTATAACAATATTACAAATCTTAATCTTGTGTTAATCACAGACTTTTAACAGGCAGCCAAACAAAATCCCACAGACTCTGAGACGAGGGACCCAGAAGTGCTCAAATACTAACTAATTTCCAGATTTTAGGACTCGTGAACACTAAAAGTAAAAGCAGTAATGTCCAAACTGTGCTCAAGATTTTAACGTAGAAGAATGCACGTTGATATGATCCCTGGAGCGGCTAGCATCTGACTGTTCATGAATGCTGTACCTGATCCCCCATGAGCGCGGCGATGTGGCTGGTCTTCCCTCCGGGAGCAGCACACATATCCAAGATCCGCTCTCCGGGTCGAGGCCCGAGCACGTGTCCCACGACCACAGAGGGAAGGTTCTGCACAAAAGGAAATACACTTTTAGGTTTTCCACAACAACCAACGTGAAGAGGCAGAAGTGTGCGAGTTTATATGCAACCCAACCCATCAATCTGATATTAATGGACAGGGAAAGTGCACATAATTACTATTTTATGTGTTTTATTAGAATAAATACCTGTAGGAAAGCCAGGCTGGGTAGGACACCATCAAAGGAAGGACTCTGGTAAAGTGGATCCACCATCCGAACACCGATTCCTCTAAAATGACACGACACACAATGACCGATGATTGTTGTTTTAATAATGCAGCCATAAATAAATAAATACAATAAAGGCTTTTTATCTTTTGTACTTATTATATTATATTATTCTCCTTTCTGTGCATCAGGACATGCTTTGTGTCACAGAATGGCTTCCTTGTTTGTTTTTCATTTACTGTACTTACTACATTACCCTTCCAATATTTAATAACTGATTAGGACAAGGACTGTAAAAACATCGAGTTTACTTACTTGGCAGGTTTGTCCGTGCAGAAGAGGCTGGAGCGGTCCACCTGAGCGACTCCATTTCCCACAAACACTCTCTTTCCCTGGAAGCTCGTGGCCGCTCGGGTGCACTTACCCTCCAAGTCAGAGAACACAGACACCAGATCTCCAGCCTTCATGTCTGTCGGGAGAGATTTCATGTTGGAAAAACCACAATCAACTAAATAAAAGCACCATGAAGTTGATTGATAACTTTGACGGATGATGCTACAAATATGTGTTTTAATTGACTTTAATAGTCTTACACTTTGGGCTGGCGACGATCCCCGGGGCGAAGACATGAGCTCCTCTCAGTACAGCACTGCCACACTGAGCACCGACCACCACCTCCGAGCTGAGCGGCTCCACGGGTCTGAGAGTGCGAGAGACGAGAGAGGAGGTCAAATACTTGAGTTTCAGGCTAAACGGATATTTCCTTTGTCTCAGGTCTCTGTATTTCTTCTTATATTTGTTTCAAAATGAGCCTGGGTCTGCTCGAGGTTTCTGCCTCTTAAGAGGAAGAAAAATGATTTTATTATTATTAATGAATTACTGTACGTTATTATGTGCAATATTTTGTTTCTTTATGAGGTAATTCCCATGAGCTCTTATTTGTTTTTTGTTGTGCTCTTTCCTTGCCACTGTTGCTAGGTGCTTGCTCATGGAGGGAACTGTCAGGTCCAGTACGCTCCAGATCAGTGATTCCCAACCTTTTTCTTTTAAGGGAAAATAACAATAACAGATCAACTAATAAACTGTACAATTAACCCAAACAGTAAATGCAATAACTGTAGGAAGTTTGTGTAAAACAAGCGATTTGGATGAATTTTGAGCAGATTATTTCTTGTGAATATTGATCAGAGATGAGCTTTCTTGATATTTTTAGGAACTTTTTATACAATTCTGACTGAATTGTGAAATTTCTTAACAATCATAGATACTTAATGTAATCATACATAACATGCTTCTTTTTTGACAAATTCTGTGTTTTATTCTCCCTGACACGATAGATAGATAGATAGATAGACTGTCTTGAGATAATTTCTGTTATGATTTGGTGCTATACTAATAAAACTGAGCTGAAAATGAAGAAGTTGTGTGCAAAAACCCACTCTTGACTCACTCAAACACCCCTAAAACAGAACAGAGCACAAGATCTTTGTTGTTCTGAGTGCACGACTGGAATTGGTGAACGATGTCAGAGTTATTTCTGTCTGGACTCGGCCCGAGGAAACACCCGCCCAGCGGTCAGACTGATGCTGCAGTTTAAGGCCGAGCTTGCAACTTCACAGAGTCAGAGTCAGAGTCAGTCTGACGTTGCTCCAGCATTCCTCACATACCTCGGGCCGTCGACAGGAAGGAGCAGCACATCTGGAATTCGTGGGTGGGGAAGAATCTGAACAGAGACCTCCTCTGCTGATGAGCTGCACATCTGCTGCTTCATACAACAACAACATATGAATGATTAGGACTCCACTGAGCACCACGAACAAAAACAACAACACACAGAAACAAAACCTCCAATCACATTAAGACAGAGATTCACCTTTTTCAGCTCCTCTCCTAACTTCTGTCTGATCTCTTCCAGCGGAGCCAGATGAGTGCTGGCCCGGACACAAGTGTACGAAGGAGGGTGAGACAGGCATGTGAGCAACTTCTGGAAGCGACACTCTGCCAGCTGATGGTCCACCGCAGCCAACACCTGAACGCAACACACAAACAAACAAACAAACAAACAAAGAGAAACAAATGAGCTGAGAAAATGTATTAGAAAACCTTCGGGAACTTACGTCTAGTATTAACTAGTATTTTTGTCAACTAAATACAAAAAAATACCCCTAAAACTGAAAATAACACAACTTCCACCTGAACTAACATCATTCAGGTCAGAATATTAAACAGAATTAATAGTTTCCAGGACAATAACAACCACTGACGACAGCAAGGACATTTTCTAGGGCTGATTTTGGCATTTATCAGAGTCAGTATTATTAAATTAGTCTGTTTTTATGCAAAAAAAACAAACTATGAAAGAGCACTTTAGACAACCTGGTTATGGGGGTGAAAGTATAATAATGCTAAAATGTTGGAAAAAAATCTAAAAGAGACATTTTAGACATAAGATATTAACATTGTGGGAAAAATCAGAGGTTTCTTAAGGAGTGTTTTAATCTAAAATCTTAACTACATCCTCCCGTGTATAAAAAAGGAAGTTTCTTTTCACAAGCGTATTTACGACTCTCCAGAAGAGAGCAACTGCCTCCTAATATGTTTAAATTCATACCTCCTTGTTAACGTAGACACTCTTGAGAAAATCAGACACTTCGGGCTTCAGAGAAATCTTGGGAAAAACAGACATTTCTTCAACCTGTGCAAAGGAAATAAAGGAAATCAGGTTGATGAACTGCAGAAGGAGAGTGTGATTACAGTCTGGAAACCTCTGATGTTGACTGGATAAAGTTATAACCCCATTATGATTAACACTTCTTTACATTTTGGTGGACAATCAAAGAAGGACACTTCTTTGCATTGATTACTGTGGTTTATTCTCACAGTACAGAGCCTGACGTCTGTGTAATAATTCATGCTTGTTCCTATGCAAATAAACTAATAATAACAATACAAAACATAAATATATTTAAAGGAAATGAACAGCACAGAATAAAACATTTTAATAAAATGATTAAACTGTTTTTAGGAGAGAGCAAGTTACCTGTTAATTATTCTATTATTGGCATTATCTGAATTAAATGAGATATTAGAATAAGATAATAAATGTGTGAACCTGAGAAAGCACCCTCTCCTCCCAACATTAAATAATACTTTATATCAGAGCTACTTTACGTCCAACACGCGTTTATTATTCAGAATCTGAACGCTCCTAATCAGTCATGTTCAACACATCCGCCTCTCACATTCATAATTAACAAGTGATCGATTCTATTAATAGTCTAGTCCGGCTGTAATAGTGATGTTAAAGTTGTTTTAATAATCATTAAGTACTCACGTTCTGCCTCTGCGTGCCCGGTGCTGTTTTACTTCCGCATACGTCACTAGCTTGGTCACATGACATTAGTTGAGATTGTAAACGGAAGTAATCTCACACACACACACACACACTCACACTCACACACACACACTCACACACACACACCACACACTCACACACACACACACAC